CAGATATGGGTGTGACAGATATCAGTGTGAGTGATATCCATGTGACAGGTTTCGGTGTGAGTGATATTGGTGTGACAGACATTGGTGTGACAGATATGGGTGTGACAGATATCAGTGTGAGTGCTATGGGTGTTACAGACATGGGTGTGAGAGATATTGGTGTGACAGACATTGGTGTGACAGATATGGGTGAGACAGATATGGGTGTGAGAGATATCGGTGTGACTGATATGGGTGTGAGAGATATCGGTGTGATAGATTTTGGTTATGTAGAACTTGTGGCAGAGTGAGTGGGACCTCTATGAAATCCAAACCTGTTCCTCTGCCCTCGTCCATGTGACAACACTTTGGTAGTGATTGATGCACTCGTCAGCATTAACCCTTTCAGACCTACACACCTTTAAGCAATAATTTGCTTTTGATGTCTCTCTTTTTCTCACCTGCAAAGCTGTTCTTCCGTTCCTCTGTTCCACTTTAAACAAGCTGAACCCTCACTATGTCTCACTCCATGGACAGACACTCAGCTGTTAAGGTCCCCACGAGTCGGCAATCTTCATGTGCAAAAGGCTACCAGGCCTCAGGCTGCATTAATTCAAGATCACATCCACCCATGCCCATCCTCCACACCCAGGGCAGGGAGGAAGATGTCAATGGGTAAGTTCATTATGAGCATGGCACACATGTCCTCCTGCAAGCCTGTTCACTACAGAGACCAATTATAGAGCAATTCTCACATTAAAAATTAAGCTGTACAATCCTCGATGTACAGTTTTAATCAAATATGCCTGCAGGATTGTAGCAGCACTGAGGCAGTGGTTATAATGCTGTTTCCACTGAATCTCTCATGGTGTGTCTCCAATTACTGCTGCAAAGTGGTAATAGCAAGAGGGCGGAGACCTTAATGCATGACACTTTTATTCTAAGTATCCTTGTTCCTGTAATGTTTACACACAAGGGTCAGACCTGCATTTTGGTAGCATCTTAGTAAAGTTACGGAGGGGTTGTCAACAGTGCCATCAAAAAGCAGTAACCTGACCATTGGCTCTCAGTTTCCGTTCTCCAACAAGTCAGAATCTAACCACGGCCCTTGGCATTCAACGGTAGCACTGAGTCATTGACCCTCCCCCAGCCCCCCACCTCCCATTCCCTCCCACTGTGTGTACCCATTGACAGAGGCAACAAGAGCAAGTCACAGGCTAGGAATACTGCAGCAAGTAATTCCCCTCCTGAATCCCCCCAGCCTACCCACCAACTACAAGGCATAAGTCAGAAAGTGACGGAATATTTTCCACTTGCCTTTCCAACAACATTTATAAAATCCAGAATAAAACACTCCACTTGGTTGGCACCACATCCATAAACATTCACTCCCCCCACCACCGACACTCAGTAGCAGCAGTGTGTACTATCTACAGGATGCTGTGGAGGTCCTGGTGTTGGTCTGGGGTGGACAAGGTCAGAAGTTACACGACACCAGATTATAATCCAACAGGTTTATTTGAAATCACAAGCTTCGTCAGGTGGACGAAGAAGCTGTGCTCCGAAAGCTAGTGATTTCAAATAAACCTGTTGGACTATAACCTGGTGTCATGTGACTTCAGTCCTTGGAAACGAGATGCACCACAGAAATTCACCAAAGATCCTCAGACTGCACCTTCCGAACCCGTGACCACTTCATTCTAGAAGGACAAGGGCAGCAGATAAATGGGAACACTTCGATGTGAGGTGTGCACTTTATACATTGTCATTTATTTTAGGATTTGGATTTTGAACTAGTGGCATGTACGTTTTGATCCATGTGTATAAGGGGTTTTAATAATTAACTTGTCAATCTTTATGGAACTGTGATTTTAAATTGGAATATGCCAGAAAGCAGGGGAGTGGGATCCTCCTTGAGTGACAATTGACTTTGAATGTATTGTGATTGGACGATCAGCTTTCTTTTGGTTCAGAAAGATCAAGAATTGATTTATTTTCTGCTCAGGAAAGATCTATCAATTGGAAAATATTTCGGGGCAGTTCATAGACTATAATAATCAGGAGCATGACGAGGCCATTCAGCCCCTCAAGCCTGCTCCGTCATTTAATACGACCATAGCTGATCTCATCTCAGCTTCAACTCCACTTTCCTGCCTACTCCCCATACCCCTTCAGCCCATTACGCATTAAAAATCTGTCTGTCTCCTCTTTACATTTACTCAATCTATCAGCATCAACTACACTCTGAGGTAGTAAATTTCACAGATTTGTGACCCTTTCAGCGAAGAATTTTCCTTATCTGTTTTAAATCTGTTCTGCCTTAACTTAAAATTATGACCTTGTGTTCTAGATTGCCCCACACGAGGAAACATCCTTTCTACATCTACGTTCTCAAACCTCTTTAGCATGTTATATACATCAATTAAATCTTCTCTCATTCTTTTAATCCCCATGGAGCTTAAACTGCTCAATCTGTCCTCTTTAGATAAACCCCTCATCTCTGGAATCAATCCAGTAAACCTCCTCTGAACTGCCTCCAATGCAACTACATCCCTCAGGTAAAGGGACCATTACCACAAAGCTGGGGGTTGACTACATGCCTTCCAACAGCCAGCGGGAAATGGAGGAGAGAATGTGTAGACACAGTTTGGAAAGTTGTAAAAACTGCAGTGTTGTTGTGGTGAGTGATTTTATCTTCCCCTATACTGATTGGGACTCACTACGTGCTAGGGGCTTGGATGGGGCAGAAGTTGTAAGGACCATCCAGGAGGGTTTCTTGACACAGTATGTAAACAGTCCAACCAGGACAGGGGTTATACTGGACCTGGTTTTGGGAAATGAGCCCAGGCAGGTGAGTGAAGTTTCAGTGGGGGAGCATTTTGGGAATAGTAGCCATAATACCCTGAGTTTTAAGGTACTCATGGATAGTGATACCAGCAGTCCTCAGGTAACGGTGTTAAATGAGGGGAAGGCGAACTATAACAATATTAGGCAGGAACTGGAGAGTGTTGAATGGAGCCGGCTGTTTGAGGGTAAATCTACATCGGACATGTGGGAGTATTTTAAACAGCAGTTGATAAGAGTTCAGCAGCAACACGTTCCTGCGAGAATGAAGATAGGTATGGCAAGTTATGTGAACCTGGGATGTTATGCCCTTGCTCAAAAAGAAAAAGGAAGCATACATAAGGTCTAGGAGGATGGGAATTGACGAAGCGCTTGAAGTATATAAGGAAAGTAGAAAAGAACTTAAGCAAGGAATTAGAAGGGCTAAAAGGGGTCATAAAAAGTCGTTAGCAAACAGGGTTAAGGAGAATCCCAAAGCTTTTTATACATATATAAAAAGCAAGAGGTAGCCAAGGAAAGGGTTGGCCCACCAAGGACAATGGAGAGAATCTAAGTGTGGAGCCAGAAGAGGTAGGTGAGGTCTTAAACAAATACTTTGTGTCGATATTCACCAAAGAGATGGAATTGGTAGAGGATGATCTCAGGCAAGGGAGTGCTGAATTTCTAGGTCAAGTTGCTATTAAAAAGGAAGGGGTGTTGCTTGTCTTAAAATGTAGTAAGGTAGA